GGAGCCCCAACCTTGCCACGCCGCTGCCACTGCTGCTGAGAAGAGGTAGGAGAGCCCCAGGAGGGCAAGGACTTGTGGCGGAGCCCAGGCCCGACCGGAGCCTACTCCACGGCAGCTAGCACTCCAAGAGAGCAGGCTGGGGCCCAGAGGAAGGCTGTGCAACAGAGGAGATCACAGAAGAGAAGATATTACTACTTTAAAAAAAATTAAATAACTTATTTTTAAATAACTTTTTTTTCTCCTTTCAAAAAAAGAAAGTGTCCCCGGATTCTTTGAAAAAAAATCTGGTAACCTTAATTAACACCCAGGTCTCCCCAGTCCTACACCAACACTAACTACTACATCTACATCTGGCAACTGTGATTGCCACAAACCATCCCTTGGCTCCAAGTCAGAACTGGCAATCTATTTGAAACCATGGTTTCCATATCTGGTCCTGAGGCAGGTTATGTCCTGAGGCAGGAATTTGGTTCACAGCACAGGGACAAGATAATGCACAGCACTTTTCTTTTAAATACCTTTATTTAAATACCTTTTGTACTTTTGGAGAACAAGTATATTATGGTGAATATTTTTAAGCTGTGAACTAGGAGGATGAGAATTATTTTGGATTAAAGAGTATGATAGTTTTTCAGCCTCAGCCAGCAACTCAGCCACTCAGCTTCCTTCCCAGTTGCTAAGTTTCTGCACTCAATTTGATGCTTGCATTTTCCCCCAGTGCTGCAGCTTTGCGTGGTTTCCAGGATTCCGAGCTGCATGTGTTAACATGCAAATCATCTGAGGTCACTTTCCATAAAATAGACTTTTATCTCAGTTAATATGTCCCTGGGTATGTCACCTCTGTCCTTCCCCTATGGTATTATATATATATTTTTGTTCTCATGCATGCTCTTCTTCCCTACCCCTTAAAGGAGTCCCTTAACAAATGCCTTTTTCATCCTCCTCAATGTGCCAGCCTGCTTCTACTGGCTATAAATCTAGCCAGACAGCATCTGTGGGAAAAGTACACATCCTCAGACTCTTGCCAATAATCGTGTCCACATCCTGCAAGTCGAGAAAGGAATTTCATTAAATTGCAACCCCCCCCCCAAAAAAAAGCACAGGTGAAGAAACACAAACCAAATATCCTTCCAGTAAGCAAAGTTTATTGCTGCCCCTGTGGAAGGGGGGCCTCAACGGTTTAGTTGTGTTGCAGCACAAAATCCCCCTTAATCTTAAATTCTCCTTGTTTAAAAAGAAAAGGGAGGATCGCCTTCTCAATCCGGCCCATGGATGGTCCAGGAATCAGCGTGTTTTTACATGAGTGGAATGTGTCCTTTTATTTAAAATGCATCTCTGGGTTATTTGTGGGGCCTGCCTGGTGTTTTCACATGAGCAGAATGTGTGCTTTTATTTAAAATGCATCTCTGGGTTATTTGTGGGGCATAACAATTTGTTCATCCCCCCCCCAAATACAGTCTGCCCCCCACAAGGTCTGAGGGATGGTGGACTGGCCCTTCTGAAAAAGGTTGCTGGACCCCTGCACTTAATATTATTATAACTACTATTATTATTAATAAACAAATGTATACTTCACAGTATAAAGCCTTCAAAATGGTGTGCAGAGTTAAAACAATAAAGCTGTAAAACAATAAAATCAATTCAACAAACTCTAAAATGATAAAAACTGTCCATACAAACTCTAAAAACGATGAAACAGTTTTATCAGATATAAAATTGATCTTTCACAAATGGCTGGGTTACACTTCATGGAATGCCTTTGTAAACAAACATGTATTAAGTAGATACCTAACACCATCATTCTAGGTACCTGCCTGATTTCAGCCTCAGCTGCAATACTAAAATCTGGTTTCTTGCACAGGCTAAATGTACCTCTGAGGCTTATGGTACTTTGAGTTCCCCATAGCGTGGTCAAGGCAGTCCCTTGGATATCCTAATCCCAAATTGTTTAGGACTTTGATTGCTAAAAGCAGAAGCTTGATTTGTGCCCGGTAACAGACTGGCAGTCATTGTGACCAGTTCACTAAGAACTGTTGAGCTTACTCAGGAGTATAGTCAGGATTTTGTACAGTGAGCCTGCGTTGATTTGAAAATATGGAAAAATCCATACCTCTTAATGCTTTTTGACAACCTGGTTGTGATGACAAACAGAGTTAAGGAGCAACCTGACGATTCGGTAAATTGAGTGATGGGCCCTAATTTGTGTGAAGGGATGTGAGATGTTGCTTCCTTAAACAGTCTTGGCTATGAAAGGCAACAAGGAATATCATGCAGGAGCTGGGATTTCATTTATTTATTGAAAGCAAGAGACCCCAGAAGACAAGGCTGGATGATAGGGGTGAAACACTGTGACCGTTGGCCACATAATATCTGTACTTTTCTCCTTTTGTGTCTTCTAAAATCACTAGGCTGCAGGTATTGCTGTCTCTCCACTGTAAGTGGAAACAACCTTCCAGCAGGCATGGGGGAAGAATAGATCGAGAAGGGTGTGTTGTGTATGTGTGTGTGTGCGCGCATGTGAGCAAGCATGCATGCCAGCTAGTTTAACAGATTTTAACATCAGCCTCTGCCATGAGTTATGGGATGGGGAGACACTTGCCCATTTCACTTCATCTTATTCTTAGCTCTCAGAAATGCATAGGTTTCCATTCCTGCCGTGTTAGTGATGAACCTTCATTCTGACAAGAAAAAAAAGGAAGCTCTGAAAAAAAGGCATTTTTCTGCCACCCATTAACATATGAAGCATAGCTACTGACAGGCCCCACAGGCTATTCTTACATTCTTATGTAAGCTAGGAAAAAAGGTCTGTTTGTGGCACAAGAAAACCCCTCCTCTGAAAAGGAGACTCTTTCCCCTGGTGACCCAAGAGTTGGGTGATGGATCGAGATGTGCAAGGGATAGTTGTAGTGTGTGTGATGGGGCTGAGATTAGAGGCTTAGGTGAGCAGTGCCACTCAGCTCCCTGGAGATGGTCTAGGCTCTCCTTCTCTTTGGCCTGGTTATTTTTGTTTTGTCTTTATGAGTGCCTTCAGATTATGTGTTTATGTGATTAATGTTGAATGCAGCCACCTTTGTGTCCTTTCTGGTGAGCTTTGATGGGGCATTTGGCTGGCTGATGCTAGAAATAGCATGTTGGACTAAATGAACATTGGTCTGAGACTGCAAGGCTATATGGAATCCCCCCCCCAGGCCCTGAGTAATGTTGGAAAATGTCTGGAATTCTCCTAGGTTGCTGAGCACCACCTAGAACCTGAGTGGCCAGAGTTGCAAAATCAACTTGGAGTCACCTGCTGAAGACTTCATAAGGCTAAGAAACAGAAGACACGCAACTTCTATTGCTGCTCTTCTCTCCCTGTGAGCCATCTCACAGTCCTTTCTCCTGGGGGACGCGGGTGGTGCTGTGGTCTAAACCATTGAGCCTCTTGAGCTTGCCGATCAGAAGGTCGGCAGTTTGAATCCCCGCGATGGGGTGAGCTCCTGCCGCTCTGTCCCAGCTCCTTCCAACCTAGCAGTTCGAAAGCGTGTCAAAGTGCAAGTAGATAAATAGGTATCGCTGTGGCAGGAAGGTAAACAGCATTTCCGTGCGCTCTGGCTTCCGTCACGGTGTCCTGTTGAGCCAGAAGCGGTTTAGTCATGCTGGCCACAAGACCCGGAAAGTTGTCTGTGGACAAACGCCGGCTCCCTCGGCCTGAAAGCGAGATGAGTGCCGCAACCCAATAGTTACCTTTGACTGGACTTAACCGTCCAGCGGTCCTTTACCTTTACCTTTTACCTTTCTCCTGCTGCTGCTACCACCTCTTCTCTCCTAATGAATCCTCCTTCACTTGATGGTGAATCCATTCTTGATGGTGTCATTTGTATCCCATTCTGTCAGTGTTCCTCAGCAGACCTTTTGTAGCTTGATCAAACACCAACTGATTGATCTCCTTTGGCAACTAGATCTCTGTCCATGTATCCTCATTCATGCCCACCTCTGTGCTTTTGCATGTGTTCTCTCTTTCACTGCAATGCACCCGGCTACATATTCAAATATGTAACCTTAAACTACAGGAAATAGAGCAGGAGTGACAGGTTATGCATTACTTCATGATCTTTCACATAAACTTTCATCTGAGCTGCTTAGTACTGGGCTGTTCAGGCAGTTTGTTCCAAGAGTCTTGGATGTGAGCCTGTGTCCCTAGTTGCCTCCGCAAATGTGTGTGCGCATTTGTGAAACAAACTTAATAAAATGAAGTTGAATAACATTAGAGATGGCTTTCTGAAATTAGGAATGCAACTTGGATGAAGGTGCCTGAAGGGAAATATGCCAAGACATCACAGAGGGTTGATATGATGGTGTTTGCCCAGGCTGCTGCCTGTGTTTATGTTACTCCTTGAAAATGTTGTTTGGCAGTTTGTGTGCATGTGCACAATTTGGATTTTGGGAAGTCTTTGGACTGTCAACAATACAGTACCTGGAGTCTGGGATGCGGGTAGCGCTGTGGTCTAAACACTGAGCCTCTTGGGGTTGCCGATCGGAAGGCCAACGGTTCAAATCCCCGTGACAGAGTGAGCTCCCATTGCTCTGTCCCAGCTCCTGCCAACCTACCAGTTTGAAAGCACACCAGTGCAAGTAGATAAACAGTTACTGCATTGGCGGGAAGGTAAACAGCGTTTCTGTGCACTTTGGTTTCCATCACGGTGTCCCGTTGCTCCAGAAGCAGTTTAGTCCTGCTGGCCACATGACCTGGAAAGCTGTCTGTGGACAAACACAGTCATGGGGAAAGTTTCATCCATTGGCTACATGGGGAAATAAGCTGCTAAGGCTACAACTAAAAGGCATCAAACTGCTCAAGATGGTTCATGTCAGATGCTGCCTGGTTTTGCAGAAAGACTCTGCTTCATGCTTTTGCTGTTATCCACACTGTTAGGTAAATTTAACCAATCGCTCTTCACAGGGCCATATCTTGCAGCAATTTATGGGCGTGTTTTCACCTCTTCCTTTGTTGTTTGCTGTTTTAGAGTTGTGGAATGCTGTGAAGACTTCCCTGGCCCCACAGTCATAGACGAAATACCGAAATACGTTTGGAACTATTTTCAGCTGAAGGATATCTTTCATCTATTAAAGGTACCAAACTTTATCCTTACTGCCTCAACAGACTTCATCTTTGTGCGGAATTTCAACCAGTTTTTCCTCCAGATCCTAAAGCACACAATAGAACGTATATCTGCAGAGAAGGGCCTTGTAAAACTCTGGTATTAACTGGGCACTTTGCAGAGATTTTGAGATTATAATATGCAATAAGATGAAAACATTTTAAGAACCTAAGAAGAGCCGGACTGATGTCCAAGGCCTGTCTAGTTCAGCATCCTCTTTTCGTGGTTCTCAACCAGGTGCCTACAAGGCAAGTTGGACAGGACAGCTCTCTTGCCACTTGTGACTCTCAGCAACTGGTATTCAGATGCATACTGTCTCCAAAAGTGGGAATAGAACGTAACCAGCATGGCTAGTAGCCATCAATAGCCCTTTCTTCCAATCTTCTTTTAAAGCCATCTAAGTTGGTGGCATTGTGGTCTAAACCACTGACCCGAGGGCTTGCCGATCGGAAGGTCGGCGGTTCGAATCTCCACGACGGGGTGAGCTCCCGTTGCTCGGTCCCAGCTCCTGCCAACCTAGCAGTTCGAAAGCACATCAAACTGCAAGTAGATAAATAGGTATCACTCCGGCGGGAAGGTAAACGGCGTTTCTGTGCGCTGCTCTGGTTCACCAGAAGCGGCTTAGTCATGCTGGCTACATGACCCAGAAATACTGTCTGCGGACAAACTCTGGCTCGGCCTATAAAGCGAGATGCCTGCTGCAACCCCAGAGTCATTTGCGACTGGACTTAACTGTCAGGGGTCCTTTACCATTACTTTTAAGTTGGTGGCCAGCACTGCCCCCAGTAGGAGTGAGTTCCATAGTTTGGACTTTGTGCTGCTGAAATAAGTACTTTATTTTATCTTGTCTTGAATATTTCAACATGCAGCTTCCTTGGATCTCCACGAGTCCTGTTAAGAGAAAGGGAGAAAAACTCTGTCCGGATTTTGAAAAATGCAAGTGATATAAAAACACAAAAATAAATAACATAGTGACAAACAAAAAAATACCCCACCCCCACTTTAAAAGGCCACAGATTGTTTAATTATCCAAAGGCCTGGCAGAAGAGAAATGTTTTTGCCTGGCACCTAAATATATTTCATTTCTTGGTTCTTTTGTGAAGCTCAGGAGACCATTCTCTGTGAATTTGAGATTTTGAATCTGTGAACTGAATTGAGAGTCGTTATCTTTCTATGGTTGGAGAAGACCTCTTGCCCAGGGAGGGGCCTGTTGTAGATCTTTTGCTCAGCAGCTCACAGTTGCAACGGAGACAGCCTTCATGTAGAGAAGGAATTGTCTACATTGTGTTTAAAGGTAAAGGGACTCCTGACTGTTAGGTCCAATCACGGACGACTCTGGGGTTGTGGCGCTCATCTCGCTTTACTGGCCGAGGGAGCCCGGCGTACAGCTTCCGGGTCATGTGGCCAGCATGACTAAGCCGCTTCTGGCGAACCAGAGCAGCGCACGGAAATGCCACTACGTTGTGTTTAGGAAACATAAAAGAGAAGATGGCCTAGGCTGGTGGGTGACTTGGCATGAAATAAATAAATGGGTTAGGATCACAAAGTGAACCAGGGGAAGCAGGCAGAGGGTCTTCTCGGTAGTGGCACCCGCCCTGTGGAACACCCTCCCATCAGATGTCAAAGAGATTAAACAACTACCTGACATTTAGAAGACATCTGAAGGTAGCCCTGTTCAGGGCAGTTTTTAATGTGTGACATTTTAATGTATTTTTAATCTTTGTTGGAAGCAGCCCAGAGTGGCTGGGGAAACCCAGCCAGATGGGCAGGGTACAAATAATAAATTATTAGTATTAGTATTATTTATTTGGAAAAGAACAGGAACCCAGTGGAGCAGCAGCTAGGCCACTGATCTCTACTGGGGGATTTTGACACTTGCTGCTAGGCAGATGGTTGAACATCATATCCTAGAACTTCATGTATGGGAGAAGTAGGGGACCAGTGTTCCTCCAGACATTGCTGGACTCCAGTTTCTATGAGCCTCTGCCAACATATCCAGTGATCCGGGATTAACGGGAGCTGTGGTCCAGCCATGTCTGGAGGGCCACAGGTTTCCCACCCTTGATGCATGGCTTTCTGGTGCCCAGGCTTTTCTCTTTAGCTCTGCAGGGAAAATGACTTCAGCTTAGCTCATCTGTTTGCTCTTCAGATCTTGCTCCTGAGCCTCTGTAGATCACGTGATTTGGTAGCTACTGCTCAGCGTGAAACCAAACCCTCTGAAGCAGCACCGTCCTTTCTCTATGTGGCTTTTGAGCAATTTGCTTTGTGATTTTTTCTTCTCTTTTGAAAATGAAACATTTGAAGCATAAGATTGTCTGATGGGTTTTGGCAAGGATTGGGAGAAGAGCGCGGTCAGTCCAAAACTTGAGTACATAAATATCTTCTCAAATCTAGTGCAGAATGAAGGATGCCGAGGGACCTTATTGAATAGAGCCTGGTGGGTGACCAGCTTAGTGATTTCCTTTTTCCTGGAAAAGTGCAGCAGGCTTCTCAGCAGTGGGAAATCTTTAAGTGGCTGGGATGAGATTAGAACAAGAGGTTTGCTCGCTTGTACCTGCTTTTTCATGGTGCCTTCCCACTGAGCATGTCCTACATAGTTCTGCCTTCAAAAGCCTGGCTGGAAGTAGCAGCTCTTTATTTCTGATGTATAATTTACTGTGTTTTTCCTGGCGCGCCAGCCTTGTTTGTATTGGTAAGTGTGTGTTCTCTGCGTACAGCCTGCTGACAATTTTGTAGGCTGAACATGCTGTGCTTGAATATACCTGGGTCTTTGTGAAGTGCTTTTGAATCACAAAGTTGAGTTAATAAGCTGGGTCGTCTTAGCCCATAAACGCTTCCTGTTTCCATTGGCCTTACTTTTGTTAAATAGATACCAAAGTTGCAAGTCTGGGTTCCTTCAGGATAGTCCCATGGACATCGTATGACAGCGCTATCTTAGTTAAAAAAGGGGAAAAAACCCACGACTTCTCATAAAATAAAATCCAAAGCCAGCCTCAGAACGAGGTTTTGGGGCTCCTTATAGCTTGTCATTCTTGTTTTGTGGCGTCTTTTAATGCCAGGCTGTCATGAAATCTGAAAGTTTCTGAGCCACTACAAATTATTGTGATTAAGTGCCTCCTCCAGACATGCCCCATAAATGCCGTGGGTCAAAGAAACAAGCCTTTGTTATTTAGTAAGAGGCAAATTAAGATTTCAGCTTTCTTGGCAAGTCCTAATTTAAATTTTAGACAGCTTACGTGGGAGAGCCACTGAGATGCGTTGCCTGAGAAAGACAAGCAAATGCGGCAGTGCCTGTGAGAGATGAGCGAAGGCTGAAGCTTGAGTCCAGGGTGGGGAACCTTGTCCCATCTGAGGGCCACATTCCTTTCCAAGGAAGCTTCTGGGGGCCATATGTAGTGGGCAGAAGCAAAAAGGTGGTGGGGGATGTGATTTGTACAGTAGACTGTATTGCAGCCATGCGTAATTCAGGTTTCTACACCCGCCCACCTCTTTTCATCAAGGCAAGCAAGAACCACTATCACGTTATGAGAATACATTCTTGCCTGGCAAAAGCACCTGAAGATGTGGAAAATGACCTTTGTGGCCTCGGGATACTTCCAAGGCCCGACTAGAGAGGCCTTCATTGGCCCCTAGGCCTGAGGTTTTCCACTGCTGTATCAGTAAATAAACCTCCTGTCTGGGAGCAAAACAGCAGAGCGGGCAGGAAAGACTTTTGGAACGTTCTTGGCATCTTCTGTGGATTTTTAGATTGCTCTCTAGGGCCAAGTTTTGACCTGGGTTCGCATTCCTATCACTAAGTGCTTTGGAGGCGGGTGCAGGTAGGTAAAGGTAAAGGACCCCTGGACGGTTATGTCCAGTCAAAGGCGACTATGGGGTTGCAGTACTTGTGTCGCTTTCAGGCTGAGGGAGCCAGTGTTTGTCCACAGACAGCTTTCCTGTGTGGCCTGCAGGACTAAACCGCTTCTGGCGCAACGGGACACCATGACGGAAGCCAGAGCACACGGAAATAGCATTTACCTTCCTGCTGCAGCAGTACCTATTTATCTACTTGCACTGGCATGCTTTCGAACTGCTAGGTTGGCAGGAGCTAGGACAGAGCAACAGGCGCTCACCCCATTGCTGGGATTTGAACCACCAAACTTCTGATCGGCAAGCCCAAGAGGCTCAGTGGTTTAGACCACAGCGCCACCCGCGCTGTGCATGCTCACGCAGGCAGACGCAGCACCTAACTTACTCCCACTTTGAGTTTCTTGGAGAAGGCAGGATAAACTAAATACTGTCTCATAATATATATATATTTAATAGGTAAGACACTAAGGGATATAAAACAGGGTCTCCATGCTGACCTCTGTGGGGAATTGTGTTCTTCCTGATCCTTTTATCAGGAAATGCTGGGGACTGAACCTACATGCAAAGCTTTGCCATTGACTCATGGTCCAGCCAAGAAGGCTTATGGCCTCTTCACACCCACACACCATGCAACACCACATCCATCTTTTATTCCACAGGGAAACGGGGCCAATCCCAGCTTTTGGGTTTGAGTGCTCCTATCACATATCTGTGAGCACCCCCCCCCATTTTTTAGCTATACGTGTAAAGAACTTTAGGTATCCGCCTTAATGTATGCAGCAACCTTAACGATTTGTGTTAGGCTATTTTGGGAGGTGTGTGAAAGAGACAGAGCAGGTAAACTGTTGAAGCTCAGGGTGGATCAGAATACGCTTTGCTCAAAAGTGGACTTTGAGGGGAGGCTTAAGAAGAGAGAAAGGAAGGCTGCTGTAAAGAGACTGGAATTAAAGGCCGAGACAACTGGAGGAATCTGAAGTAAGCAAGAAGGGATGTAAGGGGGGAGGAAGGGACACAGAGGTGGAGAGGCTTAAAAGTAAGCTGATGGGGAATGACACGATCATAGCAGGAGCAGAGAGGTGAGCTCAGAGGCATTCTGAATGGATTAGAGATACGGGAAAGGCA